GAGTACATCAAAACTATTATCTGTGATCATTTCATTTACAATAACTGCTTTGGGTGAGAGTGATCTAATGTTTAGGAGCCCAAACTTTAAAAATTGTTTTTGTTCATTTATTTTACATTTTTCTGGTTTAATCATGATCAGATTTTTTGTAGATCCTGCATTAAATTTATATTTTGACCTCACTATTCGGGGAACAGACACAGTCTTTATAGATTGGACAGCGCAAGTACTTCTATCATTTAAGCGGGTAAAAGTCATTATGGCAGTTATTTGAGATTTGACTTACTAGTCATATGTAGCGTAGCGTCCTGGAGATGTTGTCCGACAGGAGTTCCGCTCCGACTCAGTTCCGCTCCGGTGCAGGCCATCAGCACGAAAAAGCCTAGGACGCTCACAGAAAAGATTCCAATTATTAACAAAGAGCAGTTTCTGTTCTTTACACCATCACAATAACCATTCATCCATTCAAGCAAAAAGTCTTCTGAACCTTTCGTGTCCTCGCGGGTATCTGCACAGAAACATCGAGAACACGAGCACCAGGGAAACTGTGGGTGTGCACTTTACCTTCAGCTATCGTAGTACGGATGTGCCGGATGATGGAGTCTCCGACGATCACAGCGTGGAGTGGAGCGAAGCGGTTCCGGGTGGAGATCTCGAAGACTGGAGGGGGAGAGGTCGTCGCCCGGGGCCTGGCTCGCGTCTTCTGCTGCGGGTGCACCCAGGGTCCGTGGTGCATCGGCGCCAGATGCAGAATGCAGCTCGAACGTGTCCTCACCTGCACTCAAAGGTAGACACACATCCACCATTAAAGCAAGTAACAGTGAATAGTGTATTAGTAATGTAAGCGAGATTAGCGGCAACCACGCTGGCGATGCTAGCTCAATGGATCACCAGCTTCCTGACAGATAGGCAACAGCTAGTGACAATTGGTAAATTCACATCCAACAGCCGCACCACCAGCACTGGAGCCCCTCAGGGTTGCGTCCTCTCCACACTGCTCTTCTCCCTCTACACCAACGACTGCACCTCTAAAGACCCCTCTGTCAAGCTCCTGAAGTTTTGCAGATGACACTACAGTCATCGGCCTCATCCAGGGCGGTAACGAGCCTGCTTACAGACAAGAGGTTGAGCAGCTGGTTGTCTGGTGCAGTCACAACAACCTGGAGCTCAACACGCTCAAAACTGTGGAGATGATCGTGGACTTCAGGAGGAGCCCCCCTGCACTCCCCCCACTCACCATCATGAACAGCACTGTGGCTGCAGAGGAGTCATTCAAATTTATTATTTTTTGTGGTTTATTTATATTTATGCATGTGTATTTTATTCACATCTTGTTTTATTATCTGTGTGTTGTTGTCTCTGTGTACTGGAAGCTTGTGACACTAAAACAAATTCCTTGTATGTGCAATTCATTGGCAATAAAGCTCTTTCTGACTTCTTAAGGGGTGGAGCTAAGATGTGAGGAAAGGAAGCAAGGATGCACAAATAAGCATTGAAAAGCACCCAGTGTCGCCATAGAAACGCACAATACTCTCGTAATTAGGCTTCCTTAATTATTATGACATGGCGTGAACGCAGCATTCAGCTCATCTAACCCCAATCAAACACACCTGAACAAGCTAATCAAGGTCTTCCAGATTACTAGAAAACTACAGACAGGTGAGTTTGATCGGGGTTGGAGTTGACCTGATCTCCTTGGATCTTTAAAACCCCATTTTACAGAGGTTTATGTTGTAGCAACAAGGTTATTCGTTTTAGTTTTGTGTGTGTCGCTGTCTGCTGCACCTGACGCACCAATTCAGTGCATTTTCCAGCAGAGATCATTGTGAGATTGCAGATCGGGAGGATGACAGCTCGAGTGTATTGCTCGTTGATTGCTGTTTTGTTGTGTCTGTCTGGATCCTTGAGCATTACAGATGCTACTCCAGGAAAGACCACAGGTGAGAATATATGTTAACTTCATTACACAGCCTGAAGAAATGCAGAAATGAGTGATTCTCATAGTTTAGGGTTGAGTAGTAGGTTTTAACTTTTGATTGAAGTGGATAAATATGTAAAATTTATACTAAAGTTTGAGACATGTGTTGTAAAACCTGTGATTTCCAAATGCTGAAACCGCACTCCCTGGCCTCCCCTAATGATCCTCTTGAACACTAGAGGTCCTCCCAAAAAAAAAAAGCAACACATTGAATTCAATGAGTCTCAAAGGTGACACATTATGCCCCTTTTTACAATATGTAATAAGTCTCTGGTGTCCCCAGAATGTGTGTGATGTTTCAGCTCAAAATACTCCACAGATCATTTATTATATAATTTTGAGTGGAAGCAGAAACGGGCTGTTTTTCAGGCCGGTGTCTTTAAATGCAAATGAGCTGCTGCTCCCCGCCGCTTTTTCCAGAATAGAGCTGCACCTTTACAGCTCGTATCTGCTAAAAACATCTGTTTTGGTTCTGATTGTTTATCACACTGAAATCTTGCGTTTTAAACCATATGAGTTTGAGTGCACGCATCCGAAGCGCACGCACAGAAAGCAGTTGTCACAGCATGTGAGTACTAAGCTTACCTTAAAAACACGCGTTACAAAAACAGTGGGTTATGTCTGTGAAGGTAAACCGCTGGGAAATCACTTGTTTATTTTAGATCTGTGTGGCAGCAGCAATATACAGTAAATAAATCAAATGCACTGCTCTGTCTCCTCTGAGGCTGGGACTCTAAACAGTGTTCTGTGCCGCCAAAGACAGAACAGTTGGCATGTTTTGCTGAAACTTTCGCCATGGCATTGGAGCTGGTAAATGTTGGTGCTTGCGAAAACACCATAACGGCGCCGTGGGTGGAAACGTACAGATTAAGGGGTGGTGATATTATGAGATCCCTTTGCCACGTCACCAAGGGAGCAAAATCAGACGTACTCGTTTTCTCAGATGCTTGCAGAAAAAGGCTTCCCAAAATTAAGTTCCTGGGTTAATCTTTTTCACGTTTCCTTGGTTTGTAGATGCACCAGGGACCGTTAGTTAGTTAGTTAGCAGACGCTTTTATCCAAAGCAACTTACAAATGAGGACAATAAAAGCAGTCAAAACTAACAAAAGAGCAACAATATATAAGTGCAAATGACAAGTCTCGGTTAGCCTAACAGTACACGTAGCAAGGTATGTTTTTTATTTATATATATATATATATAACACACTATAGCACTTAAAACCTGGAAAAGTCGGATTTTTCATGATGTCACCTTTTAAAAAGGGATTGCAATTATTAAACTTTAATTTAAGTGAATGAAGATGTTCAGCATTCAGTGACGCTTTCGGTCTTGTGTCAGCAACGCCTGGAGAGTGTCCACCCCAATCATCTGGAATAAAATCGTGTACCACGTCCTGTAACAGTGACTCTAACTGTCCCAACAATGAGAAGTGCTGCAGCAATGGATGTGGACGTTACTGTACGGCTCCATATAAAGGTGTTTGTTATATTGTTTGGGTCGTTGTTGTTTTTATTATTTTCATTTTGCCTTTGTTCTAGTCGAAAGTAGGTTTGAATTAATCCTTTAGGACAGTTTTAAACCCAGGATGGCTTTACAAAAATAGAGGAATAATACTTGGAATATAATTCACTCTGTAGGTAAAACTTGCTATTTCTGCTTTGAGTGTTTCGTGCTGTATATTGAAGTGGTTATACAGTCATGCACGGACTAAAACTGTCTATCTGTGTCCATGCAGTGAAGCCGGGTCACTGTCCCAAACCGAAGAAGATTCAAGCATGTGCTGAAAGCTGTTTCCATGATGGCCAGTGTCCTGCCACACAGAAATGTTGCCCAACCACCTGTGGCCATGCATGCAGTGAACCACATGGTCAGGGAAGAGGTCAAGGAAATGGTCGGGGAAGTGGTCCAGGGCGGGGAAGTGGTCCAGGGCAGGGAAGTGGGCAGGGAAATGGTCGGGGAAGTGGTCCAGGGCGGGGAAGTGGTCCAGGGCAGGGAAATGGTCGGGGAAGTGGTTGGCAAAGTGGTCCTGGTTGGGGAAGTGGTTGGGGAAGTAGTCAGGGAAATGGTAGGGGAAGTGGTAGGGGAAGTGGTCAAGGAAGTGGTTGGGAAAGTGGTCCTGGTTGGGGAAGTGGTTGGGGAAGTAGTCAGGGAAATGGTAGGGGAAGTGGTAGGGGAAGTGGTCAAGGAAGTGGTTGGGAAAGTGGTCCTGGTTGGGGAAGTGGTTGGGGAAGTAGTCATTGAAATGGTCATGGGCATTTTGCGTAACACTTACTGGAGATCTTTTCAATTCAGTGCTTTATTCATATGGCATGTGTTCCATGTTTGCTCAAACAGTCTAGAAAGATTTTCCTTTCAAACCCCACCCCCCCAAATAAAAAAATAATTGCTTAAGTTGATTGAGAGGTGTTTTGTTGCATACCAATTCAGTGCAATTTCCAGCAGAGGTCATTGTGAGATCGCAGATCGGGAGGATGACTGCTCGAGTGTATTGCTCGTTGAGGTGGCTGTTTTCACACAGCTGCTTTCTGGCGTTAGTGCCTTTGTGGAAATTCTTCTCCCTGAGACCCAAACACCCCTGGACCGCCATAATTTAGGAACGTATTGGTACATTTTTACACAAAATACCACATTATGTCATGGGGACTTGATGCTAGTAATGACCCTAAAATCCGTTAATTCTTGCACTTATGCTGCAGCTGTTTTCTGCACCTTTTGCAAACTCTGTGCTTTTCTGTCTTCTCATGGAGGTTCTTCAGATGGTCAGGAGTGACCGATGCATCTGCCTAATGGGCTGCAGTCAGTTTCTCCTCTGTACACGTCATCCATTTTTAAGAAGTACAATTTTAAAGTTGTACTTTTTGAACTTTTTACTAGTAAGCCTATACCGTATAGTGTTTCAGGAGTGACAAACACAAGTGTAAACTAAGATGTGGGGGGGGCGCAAATAAAGAGCTGTGCATTAAATGATTTGGACTAAATTCAGAGTAACAAAACTACTGCAGCAGCAAGTTAGTTAACGTGCTACACGTTAGGAAAAGTCTGTAAAATAGCACAATGTACTGTTAATTTGAAGGAATTTTCTGTATTGATTTGCATTGTATTTTGTGTTTTAACTTAACGGATAAGGTCCTGGCAGAAAATGACCAGTATTTTTCAAATTTTCTACATATTTTTAACTGATCAACAAGTGCAGGTACAAACATCAAGCGTAGCGTTAGTTCTGGCAGGTCACGTTAGTCAAGCTCGCATCAGCTGACTCTCAGCTGATCCCCATCTACCTATGGGAATACGACACCTATCTAAGCATTCATATATAAGGTCCCTCAGTATTATCAGCAGTTTTCGCATTGCTCAATAGCTAATGACCCTCCTCCATCCCCAACTCCTCCTCTGTCAGTCAGGATTCAGCCTTCTGATTCTCCTTGAATCAGACTAATTCGAAAATGTGTACATAAAATGATTGAACTTAACAATATCTGCAAATACATTTATGTTAGTTCTGTTCTGTTTACCCTGGGGGATTATTGCTGTTCTTGCCCAGAACGGAACCATACCGCCAATCCAAACTGTATGCTAATTGTCAATCATCTTTGACGATAGTGGTCCTGACAGAAATAAGGTGTTATCATAAATGAACAATGATTATTGAACAATTGCAACTAAAAACTCAATTCACGTGATGTGTACTGCTAGATACCTTTGATTTCCTCTTTTTGTGTGATTTCAAAGGAAAATGTGCCTTTTTATCATTTGAGTCACAGTTAAAAGTTGCTAAAAGTTTCCAAATAAATTTTAAAAGTAAATTTGTTGCTAGGTACTTTTTGAAGAAAAAGTTGCTAAATCTAGCAACAAAATTGCTAAGTTGGCAACACTGGATTGGTTAGTTAATAATTATATGGTTTCATTGAGTAACACTGTTAAAATACATTGTTGGGGACTGCCCCACGGTTCTTTAATGGTGTTAACCACTTCAGTACTCTGATCAGGGAGTCGGAGTCATCAAATTTCTTTCCACCATTTATTTATGTGCAGGGTTTCACCATATATGCATTGAAGGTAGTTTCTGCAATGAACAATAAGTAGAAGTAAATAATTAAATTTCTAACAAATATTTGCATACTGTTCCTGTAAAATAGCACATTTCAAATGAAACAATATCAACAATTTTCTCTTAACGTGTAATTAGTGAACTAATAATTACTGGATGTAAACAGGATGTAAAGGAGCATATAAACAACTTAAGATACATTATACGACATCCTCATTACGATATGAAAGTATAACAAATGTAGAATATATTGTACGGAATCAGAAACATAATTAAACGAGATATTACAAACATTAGCAAGATAAGCAGCAATGCTAGCGGCACTTCCTTGCGTTTCATGTGATGAATTAATGATCATAAGGATCGCGAACCACCAAACATCACAGGCTTAATGTAGAAACAGATTTCAGCAGTATAAACATCCAGTATTACAAACATAACATCATGGAATAAACTTACGTCGTCAGACTTTCTTTAGGAGTCTTTGGTTTCGTCCTCAAAGGCTGGCAATGTAATGAGGCGAGCTACTGGCCTGGTATACACTTTGCCTTGAACACTGATGTCTGCTGTTCTCACACATCCATCATTGCTGACCACAGTCTTGGTAACTTTGCCAATGGGCCACTGAGCCCTTGGAAGTTGTGGATTGATTATCAAAACCACTGCTCCTACTGTCAGAGAGTCTGATGGCTTGTGCCACTTCTGGCGTGTCTGTAGTGTGGGCAAGTAATTCCTTGTAAATTGAGTCCAAAACTGGTCCACACGATTTTGACAATGGCACCATCTGCACCGCCCCATTTCTCCTGAAGCATACGCCACCTGCAGAAGTGATGCATCCCACCGCCCCATGAGGAGAATGTTTGGTGTAATGGCGTCTAGATCTGCAACGTCTGTGGAGACGTATCCAAGGGGTTTAGAATTTAAAATGCCCTCTACCTCTACTAATACTGTAGACAGGACATCTTCTGAGACAGACTGACCTCCAACTGCCACCTGTAGAGCAGCTTTGATGGAGCGGACCTCTCGCTCCCAAACACCACCAAAATGAGGAGCATTAGGCGGATTGAACTTGAAGAAGATCTGATAATCGGCTAGCTGCTCTTTTAATTGGGATTCCATAGCAGTAAAGGCTTCACGCAGTTCTCGATCAACACCATGAAAGTTTGTGCCACAGTCTGACCTGATCTCCTTTGGTCTGCCACGTCTGGCTATGAATCTTCGAAGAGCCAGCAGGAAGGCATCCACATCCAAGGAGTTGAGAAGCTCTATGTGAACAGCTCTTGTGGTGAGGCATTTTAAAATGACGCCCCAACGTTTCTCAACCCTTCTGCCTATTTTAACATGATAAGGGCCGAAGCAGTCTACTCCAGTAGAGTAGAACGGTGGACAAAGAAGTCTGAGCCACTCTGGTGGCAGGTCTGCCATTTGTGGTACCTTAGGCCAAGCTCTCCACCGTTGACAGGATGAACAATTGAGCTGGTGGTGTCTAATAGCTTGCCGACCCCTCAAGATCCAGTATTGTCTCCGTAGTTCTGCATACACTCTT